GGCTCGGACACATTTTACACCTGGCTGAAGGAGCAGTAAAAAAATATATATTATTTTATACCTCCCTCTAAAAAAATGTCTATTTTATAGTGTAAACGTTTTTAAGGTTTTTTACAAGCGCCAACTAATTGCGCCTTCAAATGCGACCCAGCGGCAGGACCGGAAGATACATGGCCACGGAATCAGATGAAATACCGCCTAAAATGTGGAAAACGCTTTAAACGATTATTGTGCCGCTTTGGGCCATCCATAAAAGCATATTAAGGCAGAAACTTGACCATTGAACCGATTCTGGGGGAATAAAAAATAACACACACTCACACTCGGGCAAAGGCATTGTGTTCGTGGAAATTTCTCATTGAATTGTGTTGAAAAGCAAATGGCATTCAATATTTATGCAAATTTATTATTGATTATGATTATACAGCTGCACGGTTGGGCGATGAGAAGTGCAGCCGTAAAGCCCCGCGGCGACCTGCAAAAACACAGAAGAGCGCACATCCCTATATTTATTTGCACAAATATAGGTCTATAAAGAATAAAACCAGTTTATGTGCCGCCCAATTTAATTAAAGTTTGCTTTAATACCCTGCCAGAGAACCTATTTGTTTTGCCAAGAGACCGGTATCGGTAGACAAGGAGGAATATACGATATATTGCTATGTTCTTGAGCAGCATTCAAGGCCGTGAAGTGAGCATGGAGATAACACAGAGATAGTTTTTGGCTAGGACATCGGGTAGAAGCCCAATCCGATCCCTCCTAGTCATAGGCCCCTCGATCTGCAAGGGTATACTGCATTTCAGCTCCTGAGGGAAGCTTTTCTTTGATGTTTTTTTTTGTATTGAAAGGATTGAACAGTAATATACACATGTTTTTATAATACTAATATGAGTAACATCCCTCAAACAGAGCAATAAATCAGCGAATATATAATAAATAATTTACCATAATTAATTACCAGAAGAAGCCCTTACTTTTAGTAAAACCTTAAACCCAGCAGGAACCACCTTTCCATCCACCTGCTTCGCAGGCAGACTCTGTCTATCTCTCTGTGTGTTTTAAGCTTAAATCACAGAGACCGGAACCGGAAGGAAGAACAACACAAAGCTTCGACTACACAGCGGACAAGCCGCAGCTGGACATCGCAGTCTGATCCCACCTGGCCGGAGGCAGGCTCCTTGACTTGCAGTTGCGTTTGACACTTTTCTCGGGCAACGGAAACGATGGCGGCGGCGATGGAGGCGGCGACGGCGGTGGCGCAGGCAAAGCGACAGAACAATCAAAGTGCAGCACGACAGGGACTTGAAAGTGGCAGGCACGTAAACGAAAACAAAATGGCGGCGGGGAGGAGCACCACACACGGACCGCAAGCCAAACAAGCGGCAACAGCAGAAAGAAATTACATGCAACAAGACAACAAAGTTGTCAATGTCGATGTCGACGTTGTTTGGTTTGCAAAAAAAAATTACCATACCCCCAGAAGCCATCTTCCCGCCATCCGCTCGCCGCACTCCCGCCCGGCCAAATGGTGCGGCCTGGATCTGCATCTGAAGTCGAAGGCAAGAGCCGGGATTACTGCTCTGTGGCCACAGCATCCTCCTAATCCTGCCCCCACTTCCTGTTCTGTTTGTCCCCCAGGCATCGCACAAATATTAGCTGTTAAACAAGCACTGGCTGTTGCTTTTGTTGCTGCAAAAATTCACAATTACACATGCAATGCCAGAAACCGAAAGAAAAGACCAGAAAGAAAATGTTGCACGTCGAAAATTAAGCGAAAACCGAGAGTGGGGAAAACAATAAGAGAAGACGGCGCGGGATGGTGAGGGGGAAGGGGGGGAGGGAAAAAATTGGCATAAAATGCAAAAATGAAAATGCAACAAGCAAAAAATATTTTGCTTCGTTAAGTTTTTAGCGTACATGCGCAAACAGCAACAATAAAGTGTTAATGTGTGCAAACTAACACAGGCATATGGGACACACACACACACACACACACATGCGGGGACACCACGCATACACACACACACAGAGACTCGTAGAATAGAAAGGAAAAACGTGGCAGGAGCAATTGCAACCGCAGAAAATGCAAAACACATGCCATGGGAAAATGAGCAGGGCCACACTGGCAGCAGCATTGACATGAAGGAGCGGAAGGAGCAGAAGGAGGGAAGGAGAAGCCAACAGCAGGATACCAAGGATACGAGGATGGCACAGAAGAAGCAGACGAAGGATGATATGAAGACAGGAACGTTGTCGACTTTATGCACATGCAAATGCAATAAAATCAACTGAAATAAAATAAGATTCGAATTTCGCCAGCAGCAAACAAATGGCTGCATTTGATCTGAGTGTGCCATCACTTCCATAAGGATTTATGGAACGCGTTGAAGTCCCCCCCAATGGCTACTGGGTGACGTCCTCTAGCATCCGCCGCTAGGTTGTCTAGAGTACTTGCGAACTCGGAGAGCGTCAGGCTAGGGGCAAGGTAGACGCTATAGATCCACACACCTCCGACCTTGGCGCGCACAAACCCAGCAGCAGCGCTTGAGAGGGAAAGCTGTAGTGGCGTGGCCCCGCATAGCCATATCGCGGCCTTTTTGGTGGCATCCACGATGAACCCAGGGGACTCCCTAGTTTGATATGGCTCGCTGAGGATGGCGAGGTCAATTGCCAATTCTCTTATGGATTGGCTCAGCAGGTCTTGAGCCGCAGCGCAGTGGTTGAGGTTGAGCTGCATAACCTTCATTATTGGGCCGTCAAGCTGGGCACGCTCCTGGCTGCTGGACATCTCCTGCTACCCGCATAATGCTTCGTCTCATTGCTATTGTTAGCGGTGCAGATGAAACACCGCGGATCGCTTTGGCAGGTTGCCGCCTTGTGCCCCTTCCCGCCGCATCTGAGGCAGCATCCGGTGCGATCCACCGCGCTCTTGCACCTAATTGCTAGGTGCCCAAACTCCAGACACCTGTAGCATCGTCGTTGAGCTGTCCGCTCCCGGATCCTACAGCTTGTCCATCCGACTTTAAGTTTGCCCACCATGAGCAGGGCTCTTGCCTGCACGGGCGGCAGGCACACAACTGCCAGTTGCGTACCAGCGAACGATGGCCTCAGGCTTTTAATGGCGCTGGTGTCCACGCTGGGGGCGTCTAACGATGCAGCTATCGCTGCTGCGATGTCCTCCTTCTCGACCAGGCTGTCGAGATCCCTGACCTCCACGCAGAGTTCTTCTGACACCGCCCTGATGCCCGTCTGCAGTCCCAGTGCCGCGCTGATGTCCTCCTTGAGCTTAGCTGTGTTGCTTTTGCTCGCGCCGTTGAGCTCGAGCAGCAGCTCGCCCTTTGCCGTCCTCCGGATTCTATTAACATTATCCCCTACCTCCTGCAGCTTGCCATCCTGGCGCCTGGTGACCATACGGAGGATGTCGCTATAGCTAAGCTCGCCCTGGGGTTGAATGATTATTGCGTCTGGCCTTGGTTCGCGCTCACGGGGCTCCCTTTTTTTCCTTACCCTAGGGCCCACCTGCTGCCACTTGAGCTGTTTCTTAGCGGCTGGGGTGGCACCATGGTCCACTGTACCCGAGGGGGTTAGTTCCTCCTGGGACTGCGCCGGCGGTTTGAGCTGGGTCGACGCTTGTTGAAGCTTTGTGCCCCTCTGCCTCTTTGTGGGCTCCGCAGCCATTTGAGGCGACTCGCGCAGCCTCTTTGAGCCGGTGTGCGGCGGCTTCGCAGCTGTTTGGGTGCCAGTAGTGGCGGTCTCGATTGTCCTGGTGTGCAGCTTCTCAAAATTGTTGACCACCAGGGCCTGAAGGGCTACCACTCTCAGGGCTAAATCCTTCATTACGTTGTCCACATGCCGCTGGTCGTTCATCCTCTTGACCAGCTCATTGGCCCGAGTACCCAGGTTTTTTAGCAGCTCTAATGGGTCAGAGTGCGGTCGCTCCTTCTCTTTGCCATCCGGGCCGGGCTTGAACATGCTCGAGCCCTGAGCTTTCGCAGGTGCTGACGGTGGTGGGGATCTGGTAAGGGTGTTGCGCCTACCAAAGACTGCGTCCTCAGTCATCTTCTCAATCTGTGTTTTTGGTGTGTGAGGGGTGTTTTCCATGTAAAAAGAATCTCCACTCGAGTTCGTTATTCCTGGCCGCAGTACGTAGTCACCGTGGTGATCCCATGGGTGTCTTTCCGTGGAGTGAGGTCCATGCGAGGGTTGACCCTGGGCCTTATGAGCACCAGGGTTCAGAGCCAGATCGGTGCTAGTTGGGATATGGATCAACCAAGCCTACGCAACCACCATAGTGGGACGGCCAGGAAGCGTTAAACGAGGCCTGCCAAGGTTTTAACGAGACGGGGGCGGTGGAGACATTAACCTATGAGCCATTTCAACAGGGGTTCAGCCTGCCTACTCAGGTCATAGAATGCCGACGCCGTCAGCCCACAGTCTAATGTACGTAAGGGGGTTCCAGTGGGTCGTACGTAACACCTTACTGGTCTCGGTGTTACGGGCGGTATAGTACCTACCAAGGCGCCTGTGGCGCCGATGGGTCCACTCTAAAGGCTTGTCCCGGGCATCCCGCGATGGCCGGGAATTTCTTCCAGACGATAGTCGCTGGGGTTATACCGCCCCTTCTTAGAGGGTGGAGGTTAGAGGGTGCGCCGCCGTAGCGCTGGGGTTGGCAGGAGGACAGCTCCGGGACCCGTTGTGTACCCGATGGCCTTAGAAAGCGCCGATGTGCAGTGTGAGCCTCTACAATATCCCCATCAGTTCCACTTTGCCACATCCTATAGACCCGCGGTGAGGGGGCCGAAAAGTCGTGGTATACTTCTAGGATGTATGATGCAGCGCCATCTGCCGGTGCTCGTCTTCCTCTACGTGCTACGTAGCAGCGCCCTCTGACGGTGGGACACGCCTGCGATGAGTAGACTATCGCCGTCTTGTAGCCCTGGTCAGCAGCTGTTGCTCTGATCAGGAAAATAGACATACGGAAAAACGTGGAGCTCATCCTAAAGAAGCTGAGGCAACTGGTGCATTATGTCGGGCCTTAGAACGGCCAACCTACGCATGCTCGCGCGGTGCAGGCAACTCCGTTGTCTGGCATGGTAACTCCGTCGCCATCCATCTTGAGCCGGTGAGAGGAGGAGAGAAACTCACCCCGGGAGCTTCGTGAGTGTTATGAGTGAGTTGGAGTTTGAGTGACAAACCCCAAATTAGTTTAGCCATGGCAGATTGCTTTAAACTCCTGATTGTCGACCTTCTTGGGTTTGGACACGGTCTGCTCGGGCCAGGAGTCCAGAGTTAAGCTCAGTAAGCATCGCGCCCATAGGGTAAGTACGGGTGGATGTGCGCTCGCTTACCGTTGATCATTGCGTGTTGATGATTGCGTGTGTGTGTGTGTGTGTGTGTGTGTGTGTGTGTGTGTGTGTGTCGGGGGAGAAACTGCACACACACACACATACAGACATACATCAGTTGTGGCTCGGCTGCGCTTTCCCCTCGCCCTGGCATTCCATTTCATTTTTATACTACACTCACTTTTCACTGTTAGTTATGTCTGCTTGCGGTTTCCTTCTTTTCACGTTATTTATGTTTATTTGCATATATTTTATTTCATTTTATTTTATTTTGCTTTCAAAAAAATGTAGAGGAAATGCAACTAAAACACGCTCATTTATTTCCGCAGACACAGCGCAGAAATTTGTGAGAAGTCAGGCTAACCCCAGGACTCTTTCGTGCGCCCCCAGGACATACACAGTGGCTGCTTCTGTGCGGGGTGGTTAGGGGCGGGGGGGGGTAGCTGTGTGAGTGTATGGTAAATTAGTAGACAAATGACTATAATGGCCAGTACGTGAACAAGTCCAAATTTAAAGCTTATGCCACAAGACAAGTTCTTTGAACTCTGCTTTGGAAATGTAAGCAACGGAGTCTGCAAAAATAAATAACCAAAAGTGCCAAAGGCAGGCAACACTACGAGTATCTACAGAACATGCACAAATGTATCTACTCGTAGTCGTATTAGTAGTCGTACTAGTAGATGTTTATGGTAATGGGTTTTGCATGCAAATGCATTGCAGTTCATAAGCTGCTTAGCAGGTGTCCAGCAAACGAATTCCAGCCAAATGCAACACAATTTAAGATGCGGAAAATCTATAGATAAATATCTGAAAATATCAGACAAAGGTAAAGGTAGGTAAAGTGTTAAACACCTTTAAGCAGGAGCTTAAGTATATAAGAGACTCCTTGTTTATTCTTATATTTCATTAACATATTCTGTTGGTTACTCAACAAAAAAAAAACCAATCAGAAGCCATGTTCTTAAAAGTATTGTCAATATGCACAAACAAATGGAACACAAATCTTTGGGGGGACATCTAGTACCCACCCCGAGACGAGTCGAGTCACACAATCCCACACTTGGGGCCATCCGTCAAGGGGAACAGCCAGGCCAGGCCCCGTATTTTATCTTGGTAAGCAACAGCTGTGCAAAAGCTGCAACAACAAAAACTAAACAACATCCAGATGCATTTCTGTTTCGACCTGGAGGCAGCCCACATTCCTACCTACATATTTCCATCAGTGAAATTTTCTAACCATTTTGTTGCCACTTCTTTGCCATTTGAATACAGGTTCGCTCACTCTCTCCCTCTTTTTCTCTCTCTCCCGCTCTCCATGGGAAAGAATGTGTCCCTTAGTCATGTTTGATTTGCAATTTTGCACAATCAAACTCTTGCCAAGGATCGCAGAGGCAGTGGCAGTGGCAGTGGCAGAGGCAGGAGCTGTAGCCGGGGAGCCGGGAGCTCCAGCTGGATGCCAGGAGGCAGAAGGCAGCCAACAGGCAAGTCGGCAAATCCCAAAAATTGCCAATAAATTTGTTCTATTGACTGTGTCTGGCTACAAATTTGTTGCTTGCATATTTTATTTGTGCAGCGTATGTTGTGAAAATGCAAATGCAAATATTCAGAGCCGGTTTGGATGGGCAAGAAATATTGCGACAAGTATCGTCTATGAGGGAATGAAAATTATAAGGTCTTTGAAAACATACCAAAGCAGCCCAAACTAATTTCATGGTTTTTTTTTTCTTTCTCTTCAGCAGGTTGAGGCCGAATTTATCCGCAGTTTCTTGGTCAGACTTGGACCAGCCAAAACAAAGCTGTCTGTCATGAAACTACTAGAGCTAGCAACTAGGCAACTGTAAGCTCGCTGCTATGAACATAAGCATGATTAAGCAAGCCGTTTGATGAGCCACTGAGCTTTTTCACAATGAGAGAACGACAAGACAAGTCCGTTGCATAGATATCTAGATTCAAGACGGGGTCGCACGAGCCCTCGTGAAGACACGATGGTCCGTTCAATAAGGTGTCCGATTGAAGAACGATGTGCAATGGAAGAGGTGCAGGAAGTGAGAATAAGGCAGACGGAATTTGGCCTGTGCCCGACTAGAGCGCTACAGATCGAGAGAGCAAGAGCGTGAGCGAAAACGAAGGAAAGGCAGGCTGCTGCCTTGCGCGAGAGTATGTACATATGCATGTACATATGTAAGAAGGTGTGCGCAAGCAGTGGTTACAACGGGGAACAACAGTAACAGCCGACAAGCAGTTCAGCAGAGAAGAAGAGGAGCAGCAAAAGGAGTCGCAAAAAGACAATCGCAGAGCCAGACGTAACTTTCAGCAGCAGCCGTGATGATAAAACTTGTACAAATTAAATAATATCAAAAAAACAATCTACAAAATAATAACAGACTGTCTACAGACAGATGGCAAAGTGTTACAGTAAGCAGTGCTAAAATCGAACAATATCAGTCGAAATTTACTTCACTGCTGCGCCACTGGTTATCGTCTGCAGATTAAACGAAAACTAGATTTGAATAAAACCCAGAGTCCTATCTTGGAACTTCATGTAAGAACCTTATACATACGATTACTTATTTTGTATTATATGTACTTGAACATTTTTGCATATAGGAGGCTCTTAATAGTCTGTAACATAATTGTTTGAATTGTTGTACTTTTACAGAAATTTGCTTCAAAACCAATGGACGGCACTCAGAGAACCAGCACTAGGCTATTTTGCCTTAGCAGTTTGCTATCTTTTAGTCTCGTCTCGGCATTTTTCTTTTATCTAATGTCTGGCCGGACCTCAAATGTTTCAGACATCTCTGTGCTACGCGATGAAGTGAATCAGCTATCGGTGAGGTGAACAGTAGCCATTGAGTCTCTAACTAATGCATATCTTTACAGAAACTGGTGCGCGGCTCCCCCACAGCCGTTGGGGCTTTTGAGAGTTCCAAGGATGCCCCTGGGCCACCTGGTAGTTCGCACTTTGTTCCAAAAGAACCTGGCGCCGAAGTGGCCAAATGGACTTCCGAACTTGCACGTAAGGTTGACGTCCTCATGGACGATGTGAGACAGCTAAAGGAGAATTGCTTTAAAATGATGTCAATGCCAATTCAGAATTCAATGCAACTTCCAAACGGATTAAAAAGTACAATTTTAATGCAAAATCCAAATTTGGTCCAAAGTCCAAATGGAAATCAAAATGGAATCCACGACGCAACTGCAATCAAACAACAAAATTCAAGCCGAGATCTAAATTCAGTTAACAATCAAAATTTAAGCCACGATCCAAATTCCCACAAGGATTCAAGCCAATATCCAAATTCGAATCAAGATCCAAATCCAAAAAATTTCTATAAGGATCAATATTATAAGCAAGATGCATATTCAAACGAACAATCATATTCAGACCAACATCGATATTCAAAGCAAGATTCATATGCAAACGAAGGTGCATATTCAAACCAAGATCCATATGTAGACCAACATCGATATAAAAACGAAGGTCCATACTCAAACCAACACAATTACCATACCGAGAGTCTACCAGTGGGCTATAATCGTTTGAACTTCGCCTCAGACGAGCTGGGGGCCAGTATTGTCTCGGTCGAGGCCAGCCCCATTGGCCACAGCGGTATATTCAAGCGCCTTCTGGGCCTAGAATTCAGTTCCAATCCGCCGGTCAACATGCTTCGACCGAGTCTGTCGCCCGGCGCCTGCTTTGGATACCGTGGGGTTCGTGCCATTGCGATCATCCATCTGGCCAAGGAAATCATCGTTGACACGATTACCCTGAGCCACCCGCCCAAGGATATGATGCCCAATCTGTGTGAAAACGCACCGAAAGATTTCAAGGTTATCGTGAGTAGCAGTCTCCCGATCGGCGTTTCAGACTCTCTTACAAGAGCTTCTTCTTTTAGGGCATAAAACCGAACTACAACGAGAAAGAGCCGTTGGGCCAATTTACCTACCATAATCACGCCAACAGACGCACTGAAATCTACCGTATAGACAACAAAAGTACTTTCCGTAGACTGGTCCTCGAATTCTACTCGAATCATGGCGGACAGTTCACCTGCATTTATCGGTAACTATGAATTGGTGAGGGCACGACCGACAAACTCTATTTATTATTCTTACGCAGAGTGGAGGTCTATGGAAGCTTGCCTGCCCCTGACCCACAGGGCAATGAGCGCGGACGAGGCAAGGATCACGGAAAAGGAGATCTCCACGCAGAAGGAGACGACAATGGGCAAGGAGGTGATGTCAGCGGACAATCAGATTTGAGCGTACCAGAGGCTGTTCGTGGACCAGTAGATAGCCGCGGAACAGAAGACAGCACCGGACCATTATACACCAGCACACCACGAGATAGCAGCAGGCCAGAAGATGTCAGTGGAGGCGATCTCCGTCGAGGAGATGATGTCCGCGGACAAAAGGAAGTCTGCGGACGAGATGGCGAAATTTGCGACAAACCTGGCTGCAAACGATGCGCCCCACGGGATAGCAGCGGACCAGTAGATAGCAGCGGACCAGAGACTGTTCGTGGACCAGTAGATAGCAGCGGACCAGTGGGCAGCAGCGGACCAGTGGACAGCAGCGGACCCCGATATAGCAGCAGATTAGGAGATAGCAGCGCACCTGATGAAAGCACCGGACCATTATACACCAGCACACCACGAGATAGCAGCCGACCAGGAGATAGCAGCGGACCAGAGTCTGTTCGTGGACCAATAGATAGCAGCGGTACAGTAGATAGCAGCGGACCAGTAGACAGCAGCGGACCAGTAGACAGCAGCGGACCACGAGATAGCAGCAGATTAGGAGATAGCAGCGCACCTGATGAGAGCACCGGTCCATTATACACCAGCACACCACGAGATAGCAGCAGGCCAGGAGATAGCAGCGGACCAGAAGATGTCAGTGGAGGCGATGTCCGCGGACAAAACGAAGGCTGCGGACGAGATGGCGGAAGTTGCAAAAACCCTGGCTGCAAAAACTGCCGCAGAGAACTTTAATGTTTTTGTGAGTTCTCATCTCCTCCTTCTCATCGGTTTACCCTGACAATTCTCTGACAGTACCAATACACTCCTAATGGCATTTTCTGATGCAGTAGGAGCCAGTGAGAGCCCTATATTGTTCATATAAACCAAATTTATTTGTCTCACGCTGAGTTAATGCGCTGGCGTTCTTTGAGATTGAAGTTTACAAGTTTTAATTACGTTCTGGTTATTATTTAAATTCAAATAAAACGTTTCCTTGTTTGCGTTGGTTAGTAATCGGGAAACATGTTCTAGCCGATAGAGAAATTTTGTATTCTTTTGCCACCTTGGAGAAAGTAGCGTAGCGTAAAATTAATGTTGTGCAAGGTATTTCCAAATCATTGATTAGGCATCTTCTCGACGGGCTTCAGGAACGTGCGCTCCCCCTGGTCGAAAATGGGATATCAGGGCGTATGAGTGCGGCGCGAATATTTTAACAGAATTCAAGCATCCAGTACAGCTGCCCCTGCGATGCCCATGTGTTTGGAGCGCTGGTGTGTGTGTGCAGTCGTGTGTTATTTGGTGTAAATTATATGGCCGAAAGAGGCAAAATTAGCCAAATGATGGCTGCCTAATGTGCCGGAAGGATGGCGAACAAAAATAAATGGCAAAAATCGTTTTCTCCCCCAATGAAAACATAAAAACGTGGCCACTAAAAGCAAATCGAGAGCGGCCCCGATTTGCTAATCAAATCAGTGTTAGCCGCCTTAGTAAAGGGTCAATGTCAATGCAAATGTGCAATTTTAAAGATACGTATGTATGTTCAATGAATTTTGATAACAGCATATATTGTGCATAAGTAAAATCGATTGTACTTTTGTGTATTCGAAGCAGGGGAATCATGTGTTTCCAGGAAATAGTGAACCAATGGCTGGGTAAAGGATAGCTACCAGTATCAGGACTATGTATAGGTCAGAGTTCCACCTCCCTCCGAGTCCAGATTCCCTACCAAAGTGCCAAATGTTCAGCGGTAATTGAACGGACTTTAAATACTACTAGCCAAAAATTGTACGAAATGCGGGTTAACACAAAACGACAAAACGACTTTGGTGTTAGCCTTTTTTTTTCTTTTTTGCTTCCTTCAATTTGGCGTGGGGTTGAATCTGAGATGGGGCTGGGGCTGGGGTGGGAACTGTAGCTCTGGCAGAGGGCCGGACTGCATGGAGACTTTTATGCTAAAGAAGAAACGCCAACCGACGTGGCTGCGGTGACGACATCGAAACTTTTCTTGTTTTCTTCTTTTTTTTTTTTGGTTTTTTCTCGTGCACTTGTTTTATTCTCATTGCGTTGGCCAGTGCGCGGGAGTTTGGTCGTACAGAAAAATGTGTCAGGAAAAAATTAAAGCAAAAGTGGAAAAAAGAATGAAAGGTTCGAGGAAAGTCGAGACCTCAGATATCCTGGAACATCGAATTTGATACGCCAAAGCAGAGCAGAGCAGAGCAATGTCTTTTTTAACATATTTTTACCCATATATGATCGGGGAGAGAGCTCTCTTGAAACACTTTGGAACGCTTTGAGCACAGCTTAGAACAGCTCATGGTTCCCAAAATATACACCAAAATCTACTGCACATAAACGCCATATACCCACGGAGAGTACAGGGTGCCCACAACTAAACAGGAGGGGATCCATGCAGAAAAACTGCCACACACAAAGCAAAATTGTCGCCAAGCTGAAATGGAGGAGGAAGGGGAAAAAACACTGAATGAGAGCGAAAAAGCCAAACTGACTTCAAGTGGCATTTTGACATTTTGTTGAATTTCAACTTGGTTGTCGCTAGGGTCAAAGGAGGATGCCATGGGTCAATGGGTGTGGTCAGGTGTGCAGGGGAGACCTGGTGGCAGCTCCGGCAATGCAAACGAAACGCACAGAGACGCATTTTATTTTCAAATTAGAGAAAAACAATTTCCATCATTGCGGCCAGGCAAAGCTGTAAACTTTTGACCCCACAAAGCGTTGGAACTTTTTTTCTTTTTACCCGTTATATTTCAATCGTACTTTTGCACAAAATTTTCCAGCATGAAATTTAAAGATACTTTTGAAATAATTAAATGAATCGAATCTCAGGAATTGATTTCAGCAGTTTCGAATAGCCGTTGGAATTGTCGAGGCTAGAGAGCTTTAAGCTCTAAGCCGCCCAGCTTTCTGCTATCTCTCAATACCTACAAATTTTCACAGTGATTTATTCAAATGTGCCGCTTACTTTTTGAGTTTTACCATCCCTAAGTGTGACCGTTTGGAATCAGCTGGAACATTCGATATCACAAACTGCCGTTATGTCAAACGAGCTAGTTTTTGTCATTGTCGGCGTTTAATTGTTGTATTTTGTGATTGTTCTAAATAAAAAGAAAATGGAATTGCGCAGCCAGTCCTTCCACGCCCTAGTTAACCTGCTCAAAGGTACAGTGCATATAATTGAGTTAACACTTTTCAAAGATATATATCTTTTCCCCGCAGACGCTGGTGTCTATGAGGAAGGAATGGCATATGACGAAGTTAAGCAGCTTGCGCAGGCGATGCAATTGTCCACCATGGAACAAATCGAGGAAAACGAGGAGTACCTGCAATTCGAACGTGCCCGCTGTGTATGTTGCAATTAATAACATTGCTTAATTAATATATTAATTACTTTAATTCATATGTGCATTTACATTGTTTTATGCAGGCGAGCATTGAGTCTTATTCCTCTATGGAGCTGCACCAATCGACCATGTTGCCTTCTGTGCTGATGGCTGAGCCCGTGGCTGGTGATGTGGCTATTGATGTCTCACAGCGCGATTGCGATAGTCCCCCTTGTGAGCCTGTTCATATGACTGTTCGTGCCATAGTACATCACCCCCTCGACTGGAGCCCTTCGGCCGAGCGTCAGACTTTACCCAAGCGCAGAGCTGACGGGAACAGCAACGCCATCGGTTCGGAGGAGAAGCGTTTCCGAACCGACAACAACAACAACAACAATCAGGCGCAGCAGCAACAACCGGCAGCTGCCGAGGTAGATGTCACTCCAGCATCATTGGCATCCGAGGATTCGGGCGTCAGTTGGGATGCGCTCAGTTCGGTCAACTCAAGCGCCTATGACAGCAGCCTAGTGCCATCCATTGGCGAGATGCCCAGTGGTCTGATGGTCAGCACAAGCAGTGCCGCCGTATCCGGTTCCTCGCGCAGCAATATCCACAATAGCGATAGCGAAATCAATTCCGATTAAATCCACGAATCGGATCCCAATACCATAGCATCGTTAGTTTATGAATAATCCCCATGAAACATGTATTCATTTTATAAATATTTGTAATGCTTGAGTCACGCTTCTTTCTCATGTGGAAGAACGTTTGCCTCGGCTTTTTTCACCGCCTGTGTGCAGACAACGAGATGCTCGGCGCCAGTTTAGTTTGCAGGCCCTCACCATTTAAGTGTAATGAAATATGTATATGCATGCGCATGGCTCGCTTGTTTGTTTATTAAAGTTACACTACATTGGTGCGTAAACAATAATACATTACAAAACTACTCTTAAAATCTTGTGCATGTGGGAGCACTACTTGCGGCCTTGCTCCTGGCGTTGCTTGGAACGTGCGACGGCCTTCCCTAAGGCGCGATCTGAGATTTTACAATACTCTGCAAAAGCCAGCAGTTCCACGCGCTCCCTTACAAAGAGGGCAGACACCTCCTGAAAGTAGTTGGTTACGTCGAGTGGTTTCGCCAACTCAATGGATCCGCCTGAGCTAGTGCTGCATCTCCCACGCTTGGACACACGCGCTCCAATCGATTCTGGATCTTCGAAACTTGCCGGCATGGTGCGTCGACGGCGATTGGACGGCATATCATTTTCAATATCGCTTTCAGATGTTTGAGTAGAAGCTGCCGTCTTGTACACTGTGTTACAGTATCCATGAAAATCGACTTCAGTGAGTGAACCTCTTTGTGGCGACATTGAGTTTTCGTTTGCGTTGGCCATGTCGCCATTAATCGGAGCGTCCTGCATGATTGAACCAATTTGTGGCAAGCTTGGCTCAGCGTTGGCCAAGTCACCGTCCGGAGCGTCCTGCTGCTGTGTCGTAGGGTCTATCTCGATAATGGGACCATTATCTTCATCTGGCGGCATAACTTCCGGCTCCAAATAGCTAGCCATGAGTTGACTTTCGTTTTCACCAAGAACAGGCGATCGCTCAGAGCTGGTACTCCTAGATATGGGATACAATTACACGCCATGCACACACACACACGTATATACACGCTCAAAGACGCCAGATTTTGTATGCCTCATCACGTATAGTACTTACTCGTTGGAATCCTCGGACTCCGTTGAATCGTCGCTGGACGATTCTTCGCTAGATGACTCGGACAGCTCCTCGTCAGCCATCAACACCGATGGAGGGGAGAATGGTGGACTTTCATCGGAGCTGCACAAAAGGAGAAAATATGTACAAATATGTATGTTAATATGCCACAAAAAACCAAAAAGGAAACGTACCCATCGTCGCCCACAATATGCGGTCCATTGTATTTCGGTAAAGGCCTGCAATGAACAAATTTCAGAATTATTAACAAACTGTAGAATTTTTATCACGCGCTACTCACATATTCGATATTATGAACGCTCGGAAAGTTTAAAATGTGTGAGCGTATTATGGCAGTGTTGCTATGTGATAAGAAATGTTACCCTGCCATGTGAATGGCAATTCTCGAGCTCGATAGATATTCCTATGAATATTTAAAAAGAAAAAATATCTAAAATGGTAAATATATTTTGAGCTTTGTACAGGACGCTTCTATACATTTTCTGTACGAATTAAATCTCGAGGTGGATTTCATTTGATCTTGTTTGACGGAATTGACACCCACTCGAGCACATTGTGCAGCGCCAATGTAACCCTGTAATAAACGGCTGAGCCACGGAGCCTAAAGAAAACGCAAATGAAATCAAAAATAAACTAAAAACTATAATTTGAAAAATAAATTACAATTCTGAAAGTATAAAATATAAGAACCAAACTAAACAAATAACTTAATATTCACAATCATCCTCCGTTGGGTCATCGCAATGGCAAAAGTGGACATCGGGCGCCACATCGGAAGCCAGATCGTCCTCACCAATCACCAGGCAACGCACATTGGAGGGGTATTTCTATGGAGGCAAGGAGAACACATTGCTATCTTCGGACTCTAAAAGGTAAGAAGTTTGGCAAACCCACCACAACGACCAGAGGATATCCGTCATCATCTGTGAGAGCCACGTTGTCGCATCCATCGCTCTCGTTCTGGCGCTGCAGTATGAATTTGGTCAGAAAGCAGAGCATGACCTGCGAGGAAAGATATGTAATGGAATTAGGCTACTTTCAACATGAACATCATGCAACCATGACTTACCAGGAATTTTAGGGACAGCAGACCCAGTCCCAGCATTATGTACAAGAACCGCCAGAGGGCTTTGGTAAACACGGGCAGGCAGCCGTTGGTGTGGATGGAATCGAGCGAGAAGGAAGGAAACGGTTGCCTGCTATTGCCCTGCTGTTCACCGACGAGCGTATCTTGGCTCGTTATGCTCTGGCTGCCTCGCTTGCAGCATGTGTAGGGAGCCAGGATCGCTGTGGTACCACCTGTTGTCGAACAGGAATCGTTACCCTCCTGCTGGGGCATCCAGTCGGCATTCATCCAGTCCTTGTAGCTGTGGACGCCACAGCACTCCTTACGCAGCTGCAGACCATCCCACAGCAGCTTCCACTCCGGACACGAGTAGTACATGTCGATGCCACGGATCAGAGACGTTTCGGCTCCATTCTCGAACACTTCCGCTCTGCGGTACACGTTCCAAACAGTAGCCAAGCCGGAGCCGACAATGATGCAGGAGTAGAATAGCCAAATTGACAGAAGTAATTGAATGTTGGGAGTAGAACGCCGCATCCACAAGCGCCTCCACATGGATAGGCTGCACAGGAACGTCAGAATCAACTGTGCCCCAAATATATAGATATTCAGCAGATAGCCGTGGACCATGCGGCACTCAATCTCTGACAGATAGCCAGTGAGGACTAAGTGGTAATAGGCCGTTACTGCGATTAGAAGCAGTCCGATGACCGCCTCAATGACCAGAAGGAGTATTATATATATGGAGGCGTTGCGAAAAGGCTGTCGCATTTGGTCATCATCATTTGCATCTGATTAAATAATTGACGTTGATTTCAACGATATCAGAAAACAGTATGTCAAGTTCTTTGTAAGTGAAAAATCTTGTCAATGAGACCTGTTAATCTTTCAGGCAAAGTGACAGGCTATGCAAAGCTATCATGCTTTATGCTACTACAGTGAATTTCATTTGTATAGTTTCTCTTACAACTGTACAGAAATATTCGGCCAGACAGATACAGATGGACATCGATCCCGATCAAGAATATATACTGTATGTACATACGTCATACACATACATATGTATGCACTCTAGATATGGTCGGAGATGCTTCCTTCCTTCCTTCCTTTTATTATACCTTTAACATAAAATAAACAATTTTGACACAATAAGTAAAACAAAAGTAAGACGAAAATGTTTCAGTCACCACTGAGCCTCCATCAGAGCTGGGTGGCCTTTGAAACCTTTGCTGGCTTTGGAGTGTCGTTCGCGTGGCGCTTGCTGGTGTCCATTTTTTGGCGAAGGGTGGCCAAACTGCGTTTTATCTGAATGATTGCTATAGTATTTTCGCGCAGCTTGGCCTGCAGATAGTTGATGTATTCATGCGCACTCATTTTATCGGCCACCAGACGCACCTTGTCGTTCCTCAAGCCCAAATTCTCGTTGAGCAGTCGGTCATTCTCGACGAGTAAACGCTCGTAGCTGCCAGCCAGTGACTCGTCAAGGCTATGCACCTCGCCCAGCCAGAAGTCGTGACCGCGCTCTCTAGGCGTCATGAACTCCAGCATGGAGCTGTGTTGGCAGATCTTATTGATCGCACAGCGATGCTGCTGGTCCTCAAGTGCTTGAATGTCCTCTTTTTATAATTGACCATGATTATTAAGTATTTGTATCGCTTACCTTCGTCCTGATCGGGGCCCGCGCAAGTATTATCGCCGCTCTCTCTTGCACCTTTCCGTGGGAGATTTGTGGAGTTGTGGGCGTCGACCTTTATTTTCATACTACGACGCAGCTGGTCCATCGCCTGCATCTCTGCTATGCCCAGTGCCACTTTGCTGGGCACGTGCTTGAATCGCTCTATTGTTTTCGCCGAATGAAAGTTCCTGGGCAGATTCATTATTATAGGATCAAGTCACTTTAATAAACACGATTCGACAGACTACTGGCACGACGGGAGGACCACTGTATGTAACCTTATCTCTAACCCGAGAGTTTTTAACTGCTAACAGAAAAACAGAATATAGTTCTGTGCCCGAAGTGTTTTCGTTGAAAGGATTGTAGGTGTAATACATATATACATTAAACTCAAAGCACTACAAAAGAACCTGAAAGGAAGTTAGAAAGAACACATAACATATAGGGTGAAGTGCAGGGCATTAAAAGAGTCGACGTCGACTATGTGTATCTCTCTTACTCGTATATTTGTACATGTTCACGCATATATGGCTGTTTGAAAACCCGCCCTTTACTGATACGCACCAAAAGGAGAGAAAGAGACAGATGTTCTAGCATCAATACTAGAGATGTGCATGTACTAAAATGTTTATGTGGTAGTTTTGTTGTAGGCCTTAAAAGCAAGTTACGATTAGTGAGGACGGAAAAGCTGATAAGATCTTTTCTTGGCAAATACTTCATCGTATTTTTTCGTGACCATGGAAAATATTCAGTTTTCCAGCAGTCCATCGTGTTGCGATGTGACACGAAGAAAACACGGACCTTGGCCACCTCTAGTTCTAACAAATGTCGCATTATTCATACACATATGTATGTGTGATATATATATGTATATATAATTTTTCACCGCAAATCTCTTTTATAAATATGATGAACAATATTATTATATGATATATGTAGCATATGTATGCACATAATATACATACATATATTACCTCCGACGGCGCGACTGCGCTGCTTCGAGCTCATTAAAACGGCGAGCACAGTCGAAGCCAGGCGACTATACATTATTTTTATAACTGTTCAAATCTATTCTACTAAGTACATATTGCGCAGGGAGTCAGCACCATGGCCCTCTACAGCCCCCGCACCCTAGAACCTTCCAATGCAGCCTCATATTAGAGATTTCATCAGCTATGGTCAACGATAATCAACATAACTTTTGCGATCCGAAAGTAATATAAAATGCATGGAAATATTTGTTTGTTATATTTATTATTTTTATAGTACAAATAGCTTAGATTAGTCAATTAAGTTTAATATGATTTTGCCCCTTGGACATTCTGTCCTGTGCGTATTGGAAGAATTTTTGCGGTACCCGGTCAAAATCACCGTCTTCCAAAGAAAATCTTGCCTTAAATCACGCTGTACAAAAATAATAATTTGTATTATATTACTATAATTTAATTTGAAAATACTACTTACTATGGATGGCTAGTTTAAACCGCAAGCCCCCAATAAACTTCTTGGCCGCTGTGCCACGCCAAGAGCACTGTCGTGCGATCTCATCAGCGACAATGGAACGCCAAGAGCTCCGAATCCATTTGTCAAATGCCTTTTTTCCCGACATCGCTAGCTCTGACATCTGTACCCGGGTGGCTGGGTCATCGTCGGGGTCTGTGGGGGAAGCGAGCCTTGTGATCACATCAGCATCGACACCTTCTTCTTGGACTCCTTGTCCTGCTGCTGGTTTTTGCAGATCGACGGATCTCACAGAGGCCGCCTGCGTTTCGTTCGATTCCCGTTCTTTATTCAGAGTGCAAATAAGTGCTTCTGTATCGGATGCGATATCGCCAATGATAGAGGCTCCATCCGTTCAAATGTGGCCTCCTTGTTTTGTGCCCCAGTATGACAGACAAAATCAGCATTAGCTTGAGACCCGAAAGAACTAGTTGTAATTTGAACATTCATATAGGTATGGCTCTTGAAGCGTAGTAGAATATGACTCATAATTGCACGTCATCATATAATAAATATCATATTATCATTTTCATTCATAAAAAATACAAAACTCCAAGCGTAACGAGCAAATTGAAAACTCCTTTAATTAAAACATTATTCTATGGTTTTCTTTGCATGTTTTCTCTTTCATTTATTAAATCAGCTGCTCACACTGTTTTGCCTATTTCGAGAATAGATTGGTCCATAAACTTTATTCATTTATACCCACATTTTATGCACACCCAAACGACAATGACACCAACAGACAATGTGACAATGGGAACAATGTACTGGGCATGGAATTGGTTTTGATTTCTAAAGCGCTTTCTAATGATTAACCAACCATTCATGGCCGTTTACAATTGCAAGTCCTGAACTCTGGTTTGTGATGCAGTCTTCAGTTTCCAGTTCCAGCAATACCTGTTCAGGTATGTCCCTTTTTCCGAGGAGCACGGAGAGACATGCCACGCTTCGATCGGCTGCCTTGTAGCAGAGATATAGCGTGCAGAAAAAAACCAGTATTTTAATGACATGCTAATCCTAATCTTCGGAAGGCTATATCTCAGACAAATAGGGCCAGATCGGCGCAGACATGCCACGATCCGATCGGCTGCCGTATCGCTGAGATATAGAGTGCAGAAAAACCAGTATCTTAAGGATATGCACATCCAAATCTTCGGAATGCTATATCTCACAGAAATAGGGTCAGATCGGTACAGGACCCACTCTCCCAGGACAGTGGGGATCCTGCCTGTCGACTGCCATCAAAATCTCCACTTCGGAAATGAGGCCGATTTTTGGCAAATTTAATGATGTAACCATCATGATTTTTTGCGAAAATCGTGAAAAAATGGATGTCCTTTTTTCGGATGGCAGTCGACAGACAGGACTCTCCCGATCAGAAAAAGACATGCCACGCACCGATCGGCTGCCGTATCGCTGAGATATAGAGTGCAGAAAAACCAGCATCTGAAAGATATGCACAAGATATCCAAATCTTCGGAATGCTATATCTCACACAAATAGAGCCAGATCGGTACAGGACCCACTCTCCCAGGACAGTGGGGATCCTGCCTGTCGACTGCCATCAAAATCTCCACTTCGGAAATGAGGCCGATTTTTGGCAAATTTAATGATGTAACCATCATGATTTTTTGCGAAAATCGTGAAAGAATGGATGTCCTTTTTTCGGATGGCAGTCGACAGGCAGGACTCTCCCGATCACGAAAAGACATGCCATGCACCGATCGGCTGCCGTATCGCTGAGATATAGAGTGCAGAAAAACCAGTATCTGAAAGATATGCACAAGATATCCAAATCTTCGGAATGCTATATCTCACACAAATAGAGCCAGATCGGTACAGGACCCACTCTCCCAGGACAGTGGGGATCCTGCCTGTCGACTGCCATCAAAATCTCCACTTCGGAAATGAGGCCGATTTTTGGCAAATTTAATGATGTAACCATCATGATTTTTTGCGAAAATCGTGAAAAAATGGATGTCCCTTTTTCGGATGGCAGTCGACAGGCAGGACTCTCCCAGGCACGGAGAGACATGCCACGCCCCGATCGGCTGCCGTATCGCTGAGATATAGAGTGCAGAAAAACCAGTATCTGAAAGATATGCACAAGATATCCAAATCTTCGGAATGCTATATCTCACACAAATAGAGCCAGATCGATACAGGACCCACTCTCCCAGGACAGTGGGGATCCTGCCTGTCGACTGCCATCAAAATCTCCACTTCGGAAATGAGGCCGATTTTTGGCAAATTTAATGATGTAACCATCATGATTTTTTGCGAAAATCGTGAAAAAATGGATGTCCTTTTTTCGGATGGCAGTCGACAGACAGGACTCTCCCGATCACGAAAAGACATGCCACGCCCCAATCGGCTGCCGTATCGCTGAGATATAGAGTGCAGAAAAACCAGTATCTGAAAGATATGCACATCCAAATCTTCGGAATGCTATATCTCACACAAATAGAGCCAGATCGGTACAGGACCCACTCTCCCAGGACAGTGGGGATCCTGCCTGTCGACTGCCATCAAAATCTCCACTTCGGAAATGAGGCCCATTTTTGGCAAATTTAATGATGTAACCATCATGATTTTTTGCGAAAATCGTGAAAAAATGGATGTCCCTTTTTCGGATGGCAGCCGACAGGCAGGACTCTCCCGATCACGAAAAGACATGCCGCACTCCAATCGGCTGCCGTATCGCTGAGATATAGAGTGCAGAAAAACCAGTATCTGAAAGATATGCACAAGATATCCAAATCTTCGGAATGCTATATCTCACACAAATAGAGCCAGATCGGTACAGGACCCACTCTCCCAGGACAGTGGGGATCCTGCCTGTCGACTGCCATCAAAATCTCCACTTCGGAAATGAGGCCGATTTTTGGCAAATTTAATGATGTAACCATCATGATTTTTTGCGAAAATCGTGAAAGAATGGATGTCCTTTTTTCGGATGGCAGTCGACAGGCAGGACTCTCCCGATCACGAAAAGACATGCCATGCACCGATCGGCTGCCGTATCGCTGAGATATAGAGTGCAGAAAAACCAGTATCTGAAAGATATGCACAAGATATCCAAATCTTCGGAATGCTATATCTCACACAAATAGAGCCAGATCGGTACAGGACCCACTCTCCCAGGACAGTGGGGATCCTGCCTGTCGACTGCCATCAAAATCTCCACTTCGGAAATGAGGCCGATTTTTGGCAAATTTAATGATGTAACCATCATGATTTTTTGCGAAAATCGTGAAAGAATGGATGTCCTTTTTTCGGATGGCAGTCGACAGGCAGGACTCTCCCGATCACGAAAAGACATGCCATGCACCGATCGGCTGCCGTATCGCTGAGATATAGAGTGCAGAAAAACCAGTATCTGAAAGATATGCACAAGATATCCAAATCTTCGGAATGCTATATCTCACACAAATAGAGCCAGATCGATACAGGACCCACTCTCCCAGGACAGTGGGGATCCTGCCTGTCGACTGCCATCAAAATCTCCACTTCGGAAATGAGGCCGATTTTTGGCAAATTTAATGATGTAACCATCATGATTTTTTGCGAAAATCGTGAAAGAATGGATGTCCCTTTTTCGGATGGCAGTCGACAGGCAGGACTCTCCCAGGCACGGAGAGACATGCCACGCCCCGATCGGCTGCCGTATCGCTGAGCTATAGAGTGCAGAAAAACCAGTATCTCAAAGATATGCACAAGATATCCAAATCTTCGGAATGCTATATCTCACACAAATAGGGTCAGATCAGTGCAGGACCCACTGTCCCAGGACAGTGGGGATCCTGCCTGTCGACT